CACTCATTACTGCTTAGCAGAGTGCTTTGACCTGTTCTGTTCCTGACCTAGGTTGGTTCACTCTTCTGGAGGTAGCCTGGTAGCTGACAGGAGCTCAAAATATTGGTGCTCGACTTACCATGGATACTCAATTGGCTTTAGCCCTCATGTAGCTTAGAACTCCTGAGCTCAACCATCAGCCTCAGCCTTCGCCACCAGGTTGGCTGGGTCTTACCATAATTTTGGGGAAAGCGCACTGGAGCTGTAAACATGGGACCTATGTTTGCTTACTAGTAAACATTACTTAGTAGGTCTGAATGACCACAATTAAATTATTTAATGTAGCCCTCTCTTACCTTTCCAGTTTTCTTATACTTTAATCCTCAACATATATTCTTTGATCCAGTGGCATTGGTCTCCTGATTGTTCCATGAAGAAGACACTCCATCTTTTAGGTCCTGGGATTTTCTTTGGCTGTCTCCCATGCCTGGAATGCTCTTCCTTCTCTATTGACCACTGACCTCTCTGGTTTCCTTTAAGTCTCAGCTAAAATCCTATCTCCTACAGGAAGCCCTATTCAACCTCTCTTAATTCCAGTACCTTCCTTTTGTTAATTATTTCCTATTTATCCTGTATACAGTTTGCTTTGTATATATTTGTTTGCATGTTGTCTCTCTCATTAGATTGTAAGCTCCTTGAGCGCAGGGACTATCTTTTGCCTCTCTCTCTCTCTCTCTTTTTTTTGCTTAGCATTGTGCCTGGCACACAGTGGGCACTTAATAAAATAATGAATGTTTTTGATTGATTGATTAATGTTCTGGTCAGTTTGTTTATCCATGAAATGGGTATAATAATTAATTATGCTACTATACCTATTCATTATTAGGAAAACATTTAATAAACAAAAAATAATATAATATATACCTATAGTATGTCACAGTAGAGTTAGAAAGACTTGTTTTCAATACTGCCTCAGACACACCGTCATAGTAGCCGTGTTATCCAGGGTAAGTCACAAATGCACACGTGTGTATGTGTGTGTGTGTGTGTTAAGGGTAACTAGGTGGTGCAGTGGATAGAGTGTTGGACTGGAGGTCAGTAAGACCTGAGTTTGAATCCTACCTCAGGCACATACTATTTGCATGACTAGGTTAGTCACTTTAATTTCTCTCAGCCTCAGTTTCCTCATATGTAAAATGGGAATAATAATAGCACCTACTGTTAGAGGCAGCTGGGTGGCACAGTAGATAGAGTGAGCCTGGAATCAGGAAGACCTGAACTCAAATATGGTCTTAGACACTTAACTAGGTATATGATCCTGGGCAAGTCACTGAACCAATGTTTGCCTCAGTTTCTTCAAATAAAAATGGGAACAATAATAGCACTTACCTCTCTGAGTTGCTATGAGGATCAAATGAGATAGTATTTGTAAAGTGCTTAGCACAGTGCCTGGTATATAGTAGGTGCTTAATAAATGCTTATAAACTTCCTTCCTACCTCACAGTTACAGTAGGGAATCAAATGAGATAATGTATTTAAAGTGATTTGTATTGTAAATGTATAAATGTCAGTGTATAAATGTGTACAAATATTAGTGTGTAAATGTGTATAAATGTTAGTGAGTGTGTGTGTGTGCCTATGATTTCCTTGCTATAGGAAGCGGCTTCTGGGTAAACATTCTACCAATATAGTTTGTGACCTAATTTGTAACTCACAATCTTAGAAAATTGCCTGCTGTACTGAGAATAACAGGTGACTTGCCCAGTATCATGTACCTGATTCCACAATCAGGCCTGTATTCACTATTCCACTATATGTATACACATATACGTGTGCACATATGTACACATATATATGATTACAACAAAGTGGAATAGACTGATTTGGGAGGTAGTAGGTTTCCTTTTATTAAAGATCTTCAAATAAAGGCTGCATAATTATTTGTCCAGTATATTGTAGAGAGTACCCTTCTTTGGGTACATGGTGGACTAGCTAGACCCTGAGATCCCTTCTGTCTCAGAGATTCTGTGAATCTAAACTTTGGCAGTTTAGTTGTTGGGTTTGATTCTTTGCTTTCTTCAAGGCTATAGACACCAAGCAGGAATGACCAATGATTATTCATGACTCATTGTCTGTTCCAGCAAGGAAGAGAACATGGCACATGGTAGATTTTAGTTTTTGAAGTTTTGCATTTGCTAATGAATGACTTCTATTTAGAAAGCAGGGTAAGATTGGAATAGATTCCTGCACACGTCCGGGAAGAATCATCAGTAATGAAGTGTCTGGCTGTCTGGCTGAAGCAGCATTAAGAAATACTGATATTCATCATCCCCTGATGAGTTAAGCCAGGGAAGATACACTGATAAACGAGGAAATTAAAAGAGAAAGACAGGGGGGAAAATGGCACCGAGGTAATAATGGCAAGTGATAATATCCATCCAACTGTGAATAAGATCACGGCTGCTCAGAGATTCATCTCCAAGGGAAAACAGTTCTAGAAGACTAAGCCAAAGAGTATGGCTGTGCAAATTGTTCAGGTTCCAAATATTTTATTTTTGTCTTGGCCCCATTGCCTGGATTAGGTGATACACTGCTGACTAGGGGCTCAGGAAGACCTGAATTTAAATCCCAACCTCTGACACTTACCGGCCCTGTGACCCTGGGTCAGCCATTTAACCTTGATGTGCCTCTGGCAACTCCCTACTGTTTTTACACTAAATTAAAGTGGGATTGCTTGAAAAATACAAGATCTCTCTACCAAGGAGATCTTTCACATAGAGTTGCTAGTTCTTCATGCCTGGCACATAGTGGGCACAAAGAATTCCTCCTCCTCCTCCTCCAACCTCCATTTTGAGAGTAAAGAGGGCCCCCAAACCAGCCAACTCTTCATTTCCCATCAGTCGAACTCTATGGACGGGACTTCTCCAAGATCACGCCCCCAGACATCACCGGGAAAGTCAATATCCTGTAAGATGGCATCCGTTTTGGTACTCTCACTTTATCATTTCCCTCTGCCCCTCTGACTGGAAGGCTGGAGGGTGGGACGAGGAATTTAGCCTGTTGTTGAGTTGTGTCCAACTCTTTGTAAGACTCTTTGTGACCCCTATGAATCATACCGTCCATGGGGGTTGTCTTGGCAAAGAACTGGAGTGGTTTGCCATTTCCTTCCTCCAGTGGATTAAGGCATAGAGAGGTTAAGTGACTCCCCAGGGTCACACAGCTTGTAAGTATCTGAGGCTGGATTTGAACTTAGGTCTTCCTGACTCCAGGCCCAGCACTCTATCCACTGAGCCACCTAAGGAATTCAGGCCTCCATTTAAAGAGGGTTCTCAGACGAGTGAACTCTTCATGTCCTACCAGCTACACACGTCGGGTTGGATTCCACCATGCCTCCCACCCTCATCCCCAGGTACCTTCTTTTCTCCCCTCCCCTCCCCCTCAGATTCATCTTGTTTCCCCCCAGTAGAATGCAAGCTCCTTGACATCAGGGAAGGTCTTTTTTTTTTTTTCTTATTTGTATTCTCAGAACTAAGCACAGTGTCTGGTACATAGTAGGGGCTTAATAAGTGATTATTAACTAACCATGGATTGATACATGTGTTTTGGGGACACACTTAGGTAAATATTGTATAAGTATGTACATATATAGCTATGGAAGGAGAGGGACCAGATCTGTGATTTCATTGCTTTTTGTTAACTTCTACCAAAGCAGGATGGCACTTTCTTTACCACTTATTGGCTTAGCACATTTCCTGGAGCCTGTCAGTCTGTGTCAGAGATAAGTCTTCCTGGCTCTAAGGTCAGCTTTCTATCCACTCCACCAAGTCTTAAATTTGTAACTCCCAAAGAGGAAATATTTCTATATCTGTGTACATGTGCTCCCCCGTCTCCCACCTCCCCAGTAGACTCCAAACTCCTCAAGGGCAGGGATTGCTTCATTTTTTTCTTTGTATCGCTAGGCTGGTCCACTTAACAAATATTTGTCGAATTGTTGATTTGAAATGGGAAAATGCTGTGTTTGTACCCTGGCTTGGCTTTAAAAGAAACCTCCCCTCTCTCCTCCCTCCCCTCTTCCCTCTCCACGGAATTAATTTCTTGTTTGGGAGCAGGAAAATGCAAAGTTATGTTTTGCATCAAAGTCGAGAAAGGGTTCTCCCTCCACTGGGCTGGAAATAGGACCTTTGTTCTGTCTGGCTAGAAATCCCCTGCCAAAAAAGGAAATTATTCCCTGAACTTCTTTGTTGCTATTTCCAAAACAAAGCCTCCTCCAAGATGACCAACTTCTTGGGCAAATGCTTAATTTATCAAGAGGAGATAGCTAGCAATAAATTGAGACTTCAGGTGAAAAAAACCCCATACTTATTGGCTCCTAAAGACCTAAGAAAACTTCACAGGAAAAAGGGAATTGTGGCATTTTTTTCCAAAGGAAAATGATTAAAAGGGCCAGTAGATGGCATAAATAAGTCAGGATAGATGTGGAAATATGATTTAAAAGTAAAGGACAAACCAGTTTATTACTTCTCCTAAGAGTGCACTGGCTTGGCTATCTGATTTTGGTCCCTCCACTTCCTGCCCCTGCTTCTGTCAAGACCTCAGCAGGATTCCCTGAAGAACTTTAAGGACCCGAATGCAATGAGGTCTCCATAGGATTGTGATTACTACTGTTATTATTTTCCTCCCCTCTCACCCCAAGATCACCTTTTCTTTTTTATTTATTTCCTTTCATCAGGAGACAGGAGATGAGTAGAGTTGTAGTAACTAGATCAGTACAGCTGAGCTCCTGTTCCCTGAGAAATGTGTGAACACACACACACACACACACACACACTCCACACACATCACCTGTTCCTTTCTTTATAGGACCTTTAACTCTTTTAATTTGTTGATTTTTTTTAATTAAAATTGAGAGGCAGTGTAATACAGTGTGGTGGAGAAAGAGCTAGCCTCTGGTTTGAGAAGACTTGGATTCAAATCTTACCTTTTACCTATACCATCAATGTGACTCTGAGCAAATCACTTACCCTCTTATTGTCCCATGCAACTAAGATGTTTTGTTGAAGAGCTAATATCAGTCTGCAGTCATTGGAGGGAGTTGTCTCATGGGGGTGGAGGTGAGATCTTTCTACCCATGAAATCATAGGTCCTGTCCTAAATAAAAATTAAAGATGAGAAAATAGAATGCCTTTTAAAAATAAATCATTGGAGCTCAGTTATATGGATAGGGTGATTAAAAAACCCAGTTTTATATACTGCACTACTTGTCCCTTTTACTTTCTCCTCTCATGGTCTTCCTTGGATGCTTAGGTTTTTTATTTTATTTTATCTTTGATTTATGGAATAAAACAAGCATTTCCATAACATAGTACAATTAAAAAAAGATTGCAATGAAACTGCAAATCTATTATATATAACTTGCTATTTCTTATCATGTAAATTTTTTTCTTTCTTTTTCTTCAAGGAGTGAACAGTAGATGTTACTGCCATGGTAGTCAGTGGTCAGTAACTACTCCACATATCAAGAAAGTCCTACTCCTCTCTTTCTTCCTCCAGAGATCCTCAAAATTCCTGCTGTCTGGGGAAAACCTTCCCTTTGGTTCCAGGTTCCCAATTAGCTTCTTCTTTTTCTATCCTGTGAAGAAATACAAACCCCTGTTTTTAGTGAGGTAGGCCCCTTGCAGATGGCCAATGTAAGCCTTTCCAGAAGGGCTGAGGCTAATTGTTTCTACTGAAAGTGGCCGCTAGAATTCTGATGAAACAATACTGAACAGATTATTTCTGGACTAGAACATTTCACTTTGTTAGTTAGACAAATGGATGGTTGTCTAGTACGTTGTCAATTCCCAGAGATTTCCAAAGCATCCCTCCTTCCAAACATCCTAGTTTCCCTCAATCACTCGTTATAACTATATGATTTGTGAGTGTATCTAATTTTCTATTGCCTCTTTATAGGGGAAATATGGTACAGTGGGAGGTGCTGTTGATTTGGAGTCAGAGAATCTGTGTTCAAACCCTTATTTCCTTCCTATGTGGCCTTGGGCTAGACACTTAAGTTCTTTGGGTTTCCATTTCCTCATCTGAAAATCAAGGGAGGTGGAGTAGACGGACAATAGCATCCCTTCCATTTCTGAATCTGTGATGATGTTACAAAGCTGGCATTTTTTTAAGCCTGTACCATCTCTGATTCTGCAGCACAGTCAATAATCTCTTAAGCCAACCACAAATTTGCCTGAATGATATATTTTAAGACCTGAGACTTAGGTTTGAATCCCAACTCTGACAGTAAATAAGTATTTATTAAAGGCTTGCTATGTCAGGCAATGGGATACAAAGAAAAGTTTTTAAAAAGTGCCTGTTTTCAAGGAGCTTCTGTTCCAATGGAGTAGACAACATGCAACTAGGGTCATGTAAGATAAATAAAGAGCAGATGGATGGTAATCTGAGAAGGGAAGGTGATAGCAGCTCAGGGGCAGGGAAAGACCTAAGGAAGGTGAGGATCTGAATTGAATCTTGAAAGAAGTCAGGGAAATAAAGAGGCAGAGATGAGGGGGCAAAACATTCCAGGTGTGTGTGTGTGGGTGTCAGCCTGTGCAAAGCATAGTCTGGAGAGTAAATGGAATGTGGGAAGAATGGCAAATAGGCCAGTATACCTGGATTGTACAGTTTGTGGTGAGGAGTGAAGTGTAAACAGACTGAAGACAGAAAAATTCCACATTGTTAAGATGTTTAAGGGCAACTGGGTCATGAAGTGGATAGAGTCCCAGCCTTGGAGTCAGGAGGAAGTGAGTTCAAATTAGGCCTTAGACACTTACTAGCTGTGTGACCCTGGGTAAGTCACTTAACCTTCTTTGCCTCAGTTTCCTCACATGTAAAATGAGTTAGAGAAGGAAATAGCAAAACCACCTCAGTATCTGCCAAGAAAACCCCAAAAATGGTGTCAGGAAGAGTCAGATGTAACTAACTGACTAAACAAAAGTTTAAAGGCCTAATATGGGACTTTATATTTGATCCTCAAGGTGATAAGAGGCCATTGGAATAGATAGATGGTGACATAGTCACTCTCTTTAGGAAAATCACTTTGGTAGCCGAATGGAAGATGGAGGCTAGGAGATCAATTAGAAGGCTATTGAACAGTGCAGATAAGAAAGGATGGTAGCTCTGTGTAGAGGGAAGGGAATGAAGGATGTTGTAAAGGTAGAACCAATAAGACTTGGCAATGAATTGGATTTGTCAGGTGAGTGTGAGTGAGGAGTCAGAATGACCCTGAGGGAGCCTAGAAGGAGGTGGTGCTCTTGACAGTAATAAGAAGTTGGGAGGATTTTTGGAGGAAGATAATGTGATACCTCTGGGAAATCAAATCTGAGATGTCCAATAAGAAGTTGGTGATTTGAGGTTGTAGCTCAGAATTGAGACTAGGACTGGCTATAGAGATCTAGAAATCATCTTCACTGAAATAATATTTGTATCCTTGGGAGCTGATGAAGTCATCAAGTAAGATCAGATAGAGGAAGACGAAAAGAGGGTGGTTTGACTCTGGGTGAGTGACTCAACCTTTTGGCCTCTTTCCTCATATGTAGAATGGGGATAATAATACCTCTAATACCTGACTCTGAGGATTATTGTGATGAAAATTTAACCATCGGCTTTCTCAGACTGGTGCAACCTGGTTCTAGGACATCCTTTGGCTAGATTCCTCTTCGATTTCCATTCCTGACCAAGCCCCTGGGTCACTACCTTCTTCTGCCCTATCCTTTCAGATTCCTTTTACATGTTATCTTCCCTTCATTAGACTGTAAGCTCATTGAGGGCAGAGACTCTCTTTCTGTTGGTATTTGCATTGCTAGTGCTGGTACATAATAAATGCTTAAATCCTTCTTGACTTGGCTTGACTAGATTTGGAGGCAGAGGACTTGGGTTTAAATACTAGCAATACTGCTTCCTTTCTATATGACCTTGGCCAAGGTGCTTAATCTCTTTGACCTCAGTTTCCTTATCCACAAAAGCAGAGGGTTGGAACAGAAAATGGCTAAGACTTGTTCTGGCTAAAAATTTACCATCTTGTGATTCTAGGACTTGTGGGACCGGGTAAATTGCTTCCCCTGTTGGTGTCTCAGTTTCCTAATCTACAATGAAGTAGGCATGTAGACTGGATTCTTACTAAGGCCCCTTCTGGCTTTAAATTCTCAATCCTATTATCCATGCTAATGGAGGGTAGTGACAGCAATAATAATAATTCTGATTACTGAAAAACAAAAACTACAGCCAGATTGTTCTGTCCTACTAGCTTTCATTAACTAAAATGAGAGATAATCCAAAAATCCTTTCTGTTTGTTTTGAAGATGTATTTTCAAAGCTCCTTCACATAGATTTGTACATCACAACCCTATAATTTTGAATATAGCAAAATGCTTTTAAAATGGGACTTTTTTTTTTTTGCAGACTTGGAGCTAAAAGGGACCTCAAAGTTCATCTAGTTCAAACTTCTCATTTCACTGTTGAGATAAGAAATGGTGCAGTGACCTACCCAAGGTCATAGAATCATAGAGCCATAGACAGAACCAGAATGGAGCTAAGATATCTTCTGGTCCAATTCCCCCATTTTACAGATGCAACTGAGGCCAAAGACATTAAGTGACTTGTCTAGGGTTATAGAGGTAAGAAGCAGTTAAGGTGGGGTTTGAACCCAGGTTCTTTGTTTTCAGATCCACTGTTCTTTCCATTGACCCCATAGAGTAGCTAAAGTCATAACTCTTAGAAGTCTAGATTTAAATGACACAGGAATAGGTGAATTTTCCTCCTCTTCATAGCTCCCATGGGCAACTAGGTGGTACAGTGGATAGAGCTCTGGGCTTGGAATCAGGAAGACTCATCTTCTTGAGTTCAAATCTGGCCATGGACACTTACTAGCTGTGTGACCTTGGGCAAATCACTTAACCCTGTTTGCCCCAGTTTCCTCATTTATAAAATGATCGGGAGAAGGAAATGGCAAACCACTCCAGTACCTTTGCAAAGAAAACCCCAAATGAGGTCACGAAGAGTTGGACATGAATGAAAAATGACTGAACCACAATTCATGGGGGGGAGGAGGGAAGCAAATACTGATTCTGAAGCTTAAATACTTTGTCCACATGATGAGAAAACAGGACTCTGGAAAAGACTGATGCTGGGGAAGATTGAAGTTGAAAGGAGATGGAGAGAGCAGAGGATGAGACAGATAGATTGTGTCATGGAAGCAATGAACATGAGTTTGGACAGTCTTTGGGAGATAGTGGAGGACAGTGATGTGCTATGGTCTGTGGGGTCATGAAGAGTTGGACATGACTGAATGAATGAACAATAACTACAAAGAGCAGGAAGTAGAGTCCCAGACTGGGATCTGAAACCATCATGACCTTGGAGCCAGGATGTGAGGATAGATGTTGCTGCCAGCCCATCAGGGACACTCTGAGAAGCCTGAATGCTGGGACTCAAGTCCAGGGAACATAGGATTTGAATCTTGGTGTGACTGTGCTCTATAGGAACTGAGTTAAACTGTAAACCTAATCTCCCTTCCCCTACTGGGGACTGAGGGGGTTTAGGGGAGATTGTCCCTGACCAACTGTTGGGGTGGGGGGAATGTTGGAATGTTTTTTTTCTTGCTGTGCATTTAAGGTAAATATTCCTTTGTGAAAACTAATCCTATTGTTAGTCAACTGAAATTGGGGTGCTTGGATCTCTCAATTGGGAGAATACAATTGGTGGGGATTTGAGTCAATGGCAGGGACTAGATACACCATAATCCCCTTAAGGGTGCAAGACAACACTAGGGGAGGGATGAAATGGACCATACCTGGCTTTCATGGAGTGGAGAACAGAGCAGTGGATTTCATACAAGCACATGGGACTGCTTATGCAAAGGCCTGGAGCAGGAGATAGGAGGCCAAATCTTGGGAGCAGCATTTTTATCTAAGAGCAGCAGAAACAGGACTGACCCCATTGAGCAGAGGCTGAAGAGAGACCTGTGGTTTGCTGCCCTTTCATCGGATCACAGGCCCACCCGCCTAACCTGGAATGAAGCAAGAGTTGAGCAGATCGAGTCAGTGATGGTCTGCGAGCTTGCCAAGAGCATTGCCTCCCCGGGCAATTCTGTTCACCAGGAGGCCACATCAGTG